TCTGTTAGCAATAGGGATCAGAGGATGGCCCTAGGGAACTAATTTAAACTCACTTAAATAAGGCCCCTGCTGTTTTATTAGAACTACCTCCATGACAACCATTCCAACTATAACTGCTTTTGGCCTGGGCTGCAAGAATTTCCCTTTTCAGGCTGCTCCTGTTGAACAATCCATTTGCTAAATTACAAGTTGTTTATCAATACAACAAGGCCAGGTCCTTAAATATTTTAACACGTAGTCAGCTAAATGACAGAACCTCCCCCTTAACCTTCCTCCAGTGAAAAGCCTCCCTGTAGGAAATCCTATTCCTAGCCAACTTCTTTCTTTGGCTTTGAGAATCACAGGTGACCTGAAGCCACAGGACTTTTGAGCCCTATAAGGCTCCTGGAGCAACAGCTACACAAGAGAGGACCAGGTCATTCCTGAAGCCACTCCACCCAAGCTGGTGCCCAGATATTTCGAGAATGTCAGAACCAGAATCTCAAGTGTCTGGCCATGAGCTCAGTCTGTGGGGTTGGATTCCCCAAGTTCCAGTTCCCACTCTGCTATTTGCTGAGTGTCATGGGCTGAATCAATTCCCCTAAAACAGGTATGTTGATGTCCTAACCCCAGATATCTACAAATGTGACTCTATTTGGAAATAGGTTCTTTACAGAAGTAATCAGGTTAAAATGAAGTCATTAGAGTGTTGTCTTTATAGACAGACCTGTTGGCATAGGCCTGTAATCCCAGCTACTCGGGAGGCTGAAGCAGAAGGATCGTGAATTCAAGACCAGCTTGAGCAACTTAGCAAGACTCTGTCTCAAAATAAAAAATTTTCAAAGGGTTGGATATGTAACTCAGTGTCCCAACCCCTAGTACCAGGGGGAAAAAAACCAAATAGGCTCAGAATACTCTCTGTACCAAGTAAACGCTGTTGATGAGTCTGTCAAATACAATTTAAAATAGACTCTGCATAAATTCACCCAAAACGCACCACTATGCACAGCAGAGATGTCTTTGGAAGGAAAGTATTCACACAAACACTTGTGCATAGAGGTTTATAGCAGCATTATTCATAATAGGTCAAAACTGAAAACAATATACATGTCCAGCAACTGATGAATGGATAAACAAAATGTGGTAATTCACACAATGAAATATTATTTGGCCACAAAAAGGAATGCAGTACCTAAATACACTACCATGTATATGATCCTTGAAAATGTCACACTCAGAGGTACACACGCAAACTCAGGGACAAAAACTCATTATAATATGCCAATCAGACTTCAACAAAGTGTTTTTTAAAAATATATTGAGAGAAGCTAGACACAAAAGGCTACAAATTATAAGATGCCATCTGTATGAAATGTGCAGAAAAGGCAAATTCATAGAGACAGAAAGCAGACGAGTCATTGCATGGGGTGTGGAGTGACAGGTGAGGTTAGGAGATGATCGCTAAAGGGTATATGGAGTGGAGCTTCTTTTGGGAGTGATAAAAGTGTTCTAGCGGGCCAGGGATTTAGCTCAGTGGTTCCGACACCTGCCTCGCAAGCACAAGGTCCTGAGTTTGATCCCCGGTACCAAAAAAATATATATATATTAAAAATGCTCCAGCGCCATAATGGCAAACCTTTTAGAGCTTTCAATGATACAAACGGTCTGCTGCTGTACATGTGTCATGGGTTCACCACCACTGTTCTAGGGGCTGGGTGTAGCTCAGTGGTAGAGCACATGCTTAGCATGCAAGAGGACCTGGGTTCCATCATAAGCACAGAAGGAGAGACGGAGAGGGAGAGAGAGAAAAAGAGAGAGAGAAAGAGAGAGAGAGAGAGAGGAAGAAGAAGGAAGAGGAGGAGGAGGAGGAAGAGGAGGAGGGAGAAATGAAGATGTAAAACTGACTGTGGTAATGGTTGTACAATTCTATGAGTCTACTAAAAACCATTGCCTGTGGACATCGTTCACATGCAAGAAATGTATGATATGTGAGTTATAGCTCAACAAAGCTGTCAAGGCAATAAATAAAATCACCCCAAGCAGTATTTCAGGAGTTCTAACAGTGTATGAGGCCAGGTACAAGCACCCATCTCCCTGGATTTAACCCTCACTTCAACTCTCCCTGCTCCCCACCAAGTCCCTTCATTAACTCCATATTCCAGGTGAGAAACTGAGGAATCACAGAATGTGCGATGGGCTGGGGCAGGGACCCAATGTGGGTAGGGAGTGCTGGCTCTGTAACCAGTACCCATTTGGGAGACAGATAATCTAGAATCACAAAGACAACTTCCATCCTAGACCCTCCCCACCCCACCCCCACGTCTTCTTGGACCTGCATTCAAGGGGAGAAGGCCTCTCCCTGACCTTGGACGCTTCTGCTGCCTGTCGTCTGGACTGTGTCTGCCAGGTAATAGCAGCCCGTGCATGGTCTGACTCCAAGAATTCAGAATGCTGTCAGGAAAGAGGACAGATGCCCAGTCCCACCCCGCGAAAGCAAACTTGGCAGGGATTTAGAGAGCAAGGCCATTCATTCATTTAGGTACTCTTTTAAAGAGAAAGAGAAAAAATAATCTTCAGAAATTAAATTTCAGTAGTTTGTGTGGTCACTGGCAGACTTTTAAACAGGCGAGAGGAACTTCGATTCTCAAGTCAGTTTTGTTCAACCAAAGCCAAAGGGCCAGCTCCTCCACTGCCCACTCAGATGCAGTGAAAACAGCTGAGTTCATCCAAAGGCTCCCAGCATCTGACCCACACTGAAAGCAAGTGTTTAGCTGGGAAACAAAAGGGACACTAAGTGCAGAAAACCCCTTTGTGCTTACACAGCCACAAGTTACGTGGAGCTATGCAGCTATTTGGGGGACAATAATGTTTTGTAAATAGTCGGCAAAGTGGCTTTGTTGGAGGTGTTGCTGTGCATGGCCTGGGACCGGGACCGCAAGGAGTGCGTGGAAGATAAGACGGCATGGCTGAGACTATCCCTTTGAAAAATACGAGTGACTTAACTCAGACCCAGATGATAAATATTTGAAAACTCGTTTGTTTTTTATTCTACCCACAGGCAGCTGTACATTAATAGCTGGAGATGGCTAACAGTAAAGGAGTAAACTGAGCCCTCTCTTTGTTTACAGAGGACGTAGCTTACAAAGTATGTTTCACACAATCCCATAAGGTCAATGCCAGTGTGGCACTAGCCCTACTAGCATGTTGTATTTTAAGGTGCAATGACTATAAAGATTTTTGAGTTTGCGTTATTAAGCTCGTGCAATAGTTGCTTTTCCATTCTACGGTTATGTGTCTCAGTTTAACAGCCAAGAACCATGGATCCCTGGGCTGTCCCAGAAGGTGAGGACAGATTCTCTCTTCTGTCGAACAAATGATGGAATCCTCAGGTCTCAAAATATGTGAGCTGCCAGGAGCCTTAGAGCCTTATTTATATTTATCTATCATTTATCATCTGCATGGTATGGACTGAGCCCTGTACTGGGCAACACACACACAGTCACTTCTAATCCTCATGACAACCTTGGGAAGTGTGTATAGCCATCCCCATTATGCACAATAATGGAGAAACTGAGGCTCAGAGAAGTTCAGTGACTTTCCAAGGACACACAGCCGGAGCATGGCAGAGCATCAAGGACCCAGTTCTTCTGACACCATCTGGCTGGGTCTCTTCACCACCCACTGAGTCCCAGCCCCATTACACAGAAGGAGAGTCACTGCCACAGGCACAACTAACAGCAACAGCAGAAGCCAGATCGATGGAGCATTCCATCTGCGTCACATGCTGTACTAGGAACTTGGCATACATACATTGACTCATTTCCTCCACAGACATGTTGCCAGGATTTGGGAACCAGGTGATCCCCATTTTAGAAATGGGGAATGGAAGCTCATAGAGGTTAAGTGACTTGCCCCCAGGGTCACCCAGCTAGTTGACTGTGGGACCTTCTGCATGAAACAGCCCAACATGTACAGACAATTTTTGTGATGCCTTTTAATTCTTTATCCAACTATAAATACATAGAGTAGGGTCAGACCCATATGCACACAGAGCCACCAACTGACAGGAAAGTCCTTCGAAGAATGCTGGCATTGGGCAGCTAGGGGGTGGAATGGAGCAGATAGGGGTGGATTCTGATACTCATTTATAAGATCTTGTGTAACAGAGACTGCTATATAATGTGGGCACCTACTATGTGCTGGGCATGTGAATTACCTTGCTTACTCCTCACCACAATCCCCACCATTGCTCCCCATTTTCCCAGGCATGGAAGGGAAATTTCAAGAGGCAGAATAATGGCACTAAGAAGGAATTCCAGGTTTGCCTATCCCAGTGCAAAAACCAATAGTGCATGAGTCCAAGAACCGGGATCCACTCTGAGTCTACCTGGCACAACCCTGTCCCCAGACCCTGCTTACCAACTCATCCCTCTCTTCTCCTGTCCCAGGTTCCTTGAAGGAGAAAGGAGGGGGTGTGTGAGAGGAAGGAGAATCCTAAGGATGTCAAGGTTAAAACTGATGCTCTGAGCCCTGACTCCATCTCTCTCCAGGTACAGAACTTAGGGCCTAGGGCCACCTCTCCACCTGGACAAGCTTCAGTTTAGTGGAGGTAAAATAGGACTACTGAAGGAAACATCATATGTGAAGTCTTAGCGCTGTAACTTTCAATGAATGGCAGCAATCAGATCATCATCATCATCATCATCATCATCATCATCATCATCATCATCATCATCATCATCATCATCATCATTATTATGACACCAGTAGCCCAGCCTCTGATATCCTTATTTTCTGCAGAGGAGTCTGAAGTGAGAAACAGGTAAGGTTCAACAAGGGAAGAACACTAGGTCACCAGTCAGGGATTCTAGAAGTTCTGTGAAAGGTGGGAGGGGACAGTCAGGCTGGAGAGTCACTGGTAGCCCAATAAGTCTGGGGGCCTCTTTCTCCTTCCCACCATAGCCAACCTCTGAGTCCCTCAAACCATCACATGAGGGGCCCAAAGATGAGGGGGCACTCACCGCCATGACCAACTCGAATGGATACTTGTAGACGCGGACAGGAGACTGGTACTTCTGCACCATGTTCCCGCTCCAAGGCGCACAGGGAGGGCTGAGTGCAGAGCCTGGGGTGAGGGGCGGCTGGTGAGCTTGCAGCTCCCTCCTCATGAAGCAGGAACCCTGGCCATGGGTGCAAGGGCAGGCCCGGCCTCTTGCTCACACCCACACTTTGAGAGGCTAATGCGATCCCCAGACTACTCCAGGACAGGCCTCACACACCTGTCCTGTCCACAGCCCACTGCCGCACGCCACATTCACCCCTCCAGGAGCAGGCACCACCCCACACATTTCGCTATCACCACCCCTTCCCCATGAGGACCCCAGAAGCACCTCTCACCACACCCACAAGAAAACAAGCACACATTTGCAATTCTTACACTCCCACAGTACTCTTCACGCATGTACCCCGCAGCTTGCCATAGACTCCTAACCATAGCCCCAGGTATCCTTACACCTGCCCTCCCATTTTCTTTCAAAACACCCGGACACACAGTCTTCACCAATTTCACCTGCACTGTCTCTGCCACATGCATGCACACGTACCTGACTCTCCACCCACACAAGACCGTCCTTGCACACTCACACAACTCTGCACCCACATGCAACTCCCTGGAGCACACACCTACCCAACTCCACGACATACGCAATTCCCATGTTGTGCACAGACATTCACAGATACCTACGCAAACGCGCACTCACACATACACATGCACACCCACACTAAATGCAGCCACAGGCCCGTGCAGCTCCACTCATCCTCGCCCTAGAAGCCGCCAGGGACCCACCCCGCAGTGCCCTGGAAGCTTGCCTGGTCCGGGGGCTGAACTCGCCGCGACCCCAGCAGTTGCCTGGCCGGGAGCGAAGCGCCAGAGGTGGAGTCTGACGGTGGCAGGTGGCGTGGGGCGTTGAGCACTGCACACCGTGTGGCCCCTCCAGCGAGGGAGGGATGCGAGGGCAGTAGTGAGACCCGCTAAACCTGGAGCGCTCCAGTACCCCGGACAGCGGAGAACTCAGCCTGGCCCCGCCCCGGCCTGGTCACGCCCCCTAGATCTACCTTGGCCCCTGACTGCCCCCACTCTGCTCTGATTCGGCCCCAACCTTAGTCCCGGGGATTTACTTGTCTGTTACTTGACTCCGCCTCCAACCCTGCCCTTCCTCCCCTTTGGCCACACTTCCTGATGGCCCCGCCCCTATGGTGGCCCTATCCCCAGACTCCCAGCCTGGGGAATGGCCCAGCCTCCAGACTCCGCCCTAGCCTAGCCCCGCCCACAAGGCCCTGAGCGCCGCAACCCCGCCCCTCCCAGAACAGTTTCCCATCTACTTCAGTGAATGCGCTGCCCAAGCGAGCACATTCCATCTACTTCAGGACAGCACGCATCTTCCCTGGCTCAGATTAACTTGGTCTCCACCCGCTGCCCTCAGGTTTGAGTTCGCTCCTCCCCTGGCCACGCCCCAGAGCCCGTCGTTGCCCCGCCCTAACCCCCTTCCGTGCGTCATTCATTCACTCTCCACGAGTTTACTGGGCGTCCCTTTGGTGTCGGACCCCTTCAGAGCTGGAGTGTCACCAAAAAGCACACCAGACAAATGTCCTTGCCCCTTGGAGTTTACATCACAGTGGCGGAGGCAGCCGTTAAATAACGCAAACGCTTAGTATGTGAGATGATGAAAAACTCCTCGGAGAGAGAAATACAGTGAACAGAGAGGAAGGATGACATTTGGCTGTCATCCTCAGTTTGGCTCCTATCCAAACCCTTCCAGCCCTCCCGGGGTCGCGCTATGAGAGCCAAGGAGAGGCTTCGAGGAGCATTTTTATCCAAGTCCTCACTCAACATTGGCCAAGCACCCACTTTGCTTCAGGCTTGGGTGAACTCATCCTCTCCCATGGGGAATCAGACACCCCCGCCCACGGCAGGGGCGGGGAGTGGGCGGGCCGAAGACTCAGTCCTTCGGTCCCTCCAGTTCTCCGCCACCCCAGCCTCCGTAGCGCGCTAACTCTTGTGCTCAAGCTGTCACCTTATATTTGTGTGGGTTTTTGGCAATCCTTCTCCACAGACTGTGACTGAGGGCAGGAAGGTTTCTGCCTTCTTTGCCGATGTGTTCGCAGGATCTTACTAAGGACCTGGAAGGCGATAGCTAGCTGCTCCAGGACCGGCTGGGTTAAGGCTTACAAGGATGGAAATGGGATGTAAAGTTCTCATCGCTGCCACAAGGTGGCAGCAAATGACAGCCCATAGTTCCTGGAACGACTACAGCGGCGGGTTGCTAGGTGACCTGGGGTCCTGGGATCATTGTCCCTGGTCGAGCTCATCCAGGGAACTCGCAGCTCTGCCTGGGCACACAGTGAACACCCAAACTGTTAGCTGATGTTGCCAGCGGGAAAGGTAAATAAGTCACCGCCTCTGCCTCACCTTCTCACCTTGAGGGAGGGCGTGACTGCGCGGCGAGGGGGGGGCGGGGGGGACGCATGCCTTTAAGTGCACAGCGCAGTGCCGAAATTGGGACCCCAAAGGGAGTGAGAACTTCGCTCCCTCCTCCTCCCACCCACGAGAAGGGAACTAACAATATCACCACCACGTACTGTGCGTCACCTATTTTTAGCCATATTCTACTACTAATTATTCCCACCCTTATTTTTGTTAAATTTTTTTCCCTTCTTCCTTCCTTCTTTCCACCTTCCCACCTCCTTTCCTTCTTTCCTTTGTGTGTGTGTGCGTGTCTCTGTGTGTGTGCATGTGCACATGTGCAAGGGATGGACCCAGGACAAGCACTCCACCCTTGCATTTACTATTCCAGGCACTATTCTAAAGATTTACAAACATTCATGCATTTAATTCTCAAAACAACCCCTGTAATTAGGAAAAGAACTTGGTAGAGATTGTGGTTGCACAACATTGAGAATGTCCTAAATGCCAACAATGTGTACACATTAAGATGGTTAATTTTATGTTTTAACTCCCCTCAATTCTTTAAAAAGCCTTAAAACCGTTTTAGTCAACATCATTTTACAAGTAAGGACAGTCACACTGCTAGTAAGAGACTCAACCCCAGGACTACGGTTCTCCAGTGTCCTCTCCCCCTAGGGATGCAGCTGAAGTGCCCGGTGGATGTGATTTCCAAGCCTAGCTGCAAGAGATCCGGGCACCCTGTGCCCAGATGGAGAGTACTGGAAGGGTGGCATGGTCCCCTGGGGGTGCTGGAGTTTGAAGCCGAACCCAAGGCAGGATCTTCAGCCCAGCCAAAGCTACCTTGTGAGGAGGTGGGTTTGGGCAAGCCCACAAACTACCCCAAATCTTTGGACATCTTCCCAGCAGATGGGCCACTGCCACAGGAAATTAGAAACATATTTGATTAAAACACTGGACCCAATCCAGATTTGATGCCCCTATGGGGCATCCTGTGGAAAATGTCCTCAGTCGGATGCTCAGTGTGGCAAGAACAGGAAAAGTTAGGAGTGAGGCAGGAGTGAGAAGGTCCAAGGCCCACCCCTGGGGGAACAGGAATGGCCCTTGAACTAGGCCTTGGATCCCTGAGACAGTGCTGAAATTGGAGAGACTCAGGAAGACAGGGTGAGTCTTCACACATTTTTTTGTTCCAGTACTAGAGATTGAACCCACGACTTTTGCACTGAGCTACACCCCCAGCCCTTTTTTATTTTTTTTTAATTTTGAGATAGGGTACTTGCTAAGTTGCTAAATTACCCAAGCTGGGCTCCAACTTGCAATCCTCCTGCCTGAGCCTCCAAGAGGGCTGGGATTTCAGGCACGTATCATGATCCCCGCTCTTCCCCCTTTCTTATTGTGGTGAAGCACTCATATACATTACCATTCTAACAGTCTCTTAGTGTGCAGCTCAGTGGTTGTTAGTACATTCACGAGGTTGTGCAGCCATCGCCACTGTCTAGTTTCAGAATGGATGAAGGATGACTGTCCCCAGTAAGCTGTTGCTCCTCCTTCCTGCTTCTCCAGCTCCCACAGCCACTCATCTCATTTGCCCCTGGCTGTCTCTAAATTGTGCCCTTTCTCCCCAACTCTCAAAGCACAGCCATAGCCCAGAGGCCTCTTGGATTGGGGAAACTTGAGGGCCGTCAGCTGTGGCCTGCACAACTCCATGGAGTGGTCCCAGTCACTGGGCAGCCTTGAGTGGGCAGAGGCTGAGTCTGGGGGAATCTGACTCACCCTGAACCCCCAGCCTGTCCCCAAGTCAGCTCATTCCCACAAAGGTTTCCAGGTGCCACCATGCCACCGGCCCATGGAGCAAAGGTCCCATCCAATGGGGAGTAGAAGCCCAGGCCTTGCAGAGCAGAGGAGCCCTTGGTGTGGAGAGAAGAGGCCAGAGGAAGGGAGGCTTCAGGGGAGTCAGTGTGGTATTGTGGGGGTGCGGGAGGCTCCATGGTCAGGTGGGTGCCTGGTGCACATTCTGGCCCTGTTACTCCCAGCTGTCTGGCCACAATGTCCCCGGTACCATGAATGTTATCCAGCCTTGGGAGTCACTGACACACACACCACCACGGGGACGGATGGGAAGACACTGCTGAGTGAGACACCAGCCACAAAAGGCCAGGTGCTGCTGAGTTTCGCTCACACCAGGTCCCCAGGAGGTCAAAGTCCTAGAGACAGAAAGTACAACGGTGGTTGCCAGGGCTGGGGGTAGGACATGAGGAGACTGATGAACACGGCATCGTCCCAGTTTCACAAGGTGGAAGAGTCCTGGGGATAGATAGTGGTGGTAGCTGCAGGAAAAATGTGATGTGCTTCATGTTCTTAAAGTGGCTTAATGGTCACTGCGGGGATCACTCTTTTGCCTCCAGGGTGCCCAAGGTCAAGGGGCAGAGGGTGGGAGAAGAGACCCACCCTGCACCCTCTGTTCTCTACTTCCAAGACCCTGCTTTGGCCCTTGTCATCCTGATGGTGCAGACAGCCCCTGAACAGTGGAGAAGTAAGCCCTGTACTGGTCCCTGTGGCAACCACAATCTTGTGGCTTGAAAAACAATACAGACATATAGCTTCACATTTCCAGAGGTCAGAGATCTAAAGTTGGTCTCCCTGGTGTAAAGCTTCTGTGGGCTGCACAGGATCCCCTTTCTGCCCTTAGTCTGATGGCTCCAGCCACCTGCAGGGAGAGGTCTCAGCCCACTCTGAAGCAGAACACAGGAGCCAAGCCCTGTAGTCCCAGCTGGAGCTGAGGAAAAGGGACAAGGGACAGGCTCTGCAGCCTGGGTGCCCAGTTACTTAGAGGGGACAGCCCAGGGGACACTCCACAGCTGCCACTGTACCCCAGCACTGGGAAATGGAGGCTTGGTATGCCCTGCCCACTCAAGCCCCACAGGATCCTGCTGAGGGGGACCCTGTGGGGAAGGGGTCCTGGTCCTCAGAGCTCACTGGGCCCAGCCCAAGAGCCCCTGAGGCATGTGGGGGTGCATGCCCTGCTTCTCCTAAGCGTGGGGGGGCAGTGTCTGGACTCCAGCTCCTCCCCTTGCCACACGCTCTCCCTGTGCCCAGGCTCCATGCAGCGACACACTGAGGGCCATGCAGTACCAGGGGAACAGGGACATGCACGTGGAAGGGGCCGAAACAAGGCCTGGGGTGTGCCTCAGGAGCAGAGCACGTCCCCAGCATGTGAGAAGCCCTGGGCTCCATCCTGGGAGAAAAACAAAACCGAATAAACCAGAGAAGCAGCAGCAGAGTTGCAACAGGGATTCACTTCTGTGGTGGATCAGATTACACTGAGCGCTCTGGTGGGGACAGTAGAGGTGAGGGAGTGTAGACAGGTGCCTGTGGGCCTCACTGAGAAGAGGACATGAGTAGCAAAGACTTGAAGGAAGAGCAGGGTAGGGTGTACAGAGATCGAGCCTGCCAGTGCAAAGGCCCTGAGGCAAGGTGTGCTCTGTGTGCTCGGAGAACTGGGAGGTGATCAGTGTGTGCAGGGCAGAGTGAGCAGAGGGAGATGGCAGAGGAGAAGTGGGTGGGTGTCTCCTGGGTTGTCTGATTTGAGCTGAGGGACTTGGACTGGCTGGGAGGTGAGGGAGAGTCCAGTGACTTCTGCCTTAGCCGCAGGCTGCTGTGTTGAGAACAGACTGTAGTGGAGGAGGCAGCAGGGAAGAGGAGTGGGGAAGAGGGAGACAGTTGCTGTAGAGGTCTGGCTGAGGCCTGAAAGCTCCTGGATCTCTGATCCAGGCAGATGCTGCTGCATGAGCCTGAGAGGGGCTTTGGAGACCGTGCTGGGAAAGAGACAGAGAACCACGAGAGGGAGCTTGAGAGCCCTTCCTCAGCGGCACAGACAGGAGCCTGAC